ACGTTAACCCGATTAGCTCCGAGGAGACTGTCAAAATTGCCATTCAAGACAAGCAGGACAGGTACACGTCCTGTGCGAAGAGTTTTTGTCGACATGAAGAAGCTAATGTACCGGTCTAACATTGCCGGTGTTATGAAAACAGTGTTAGAGTTTGATTTCAGTGCTCGTCATGTCAAGCAATTACAGAAAACGCCATTTTGGCTTATGATTGACGCGATCCGAGTGCATAAATTGGATCCAGCTGCATATAAGAAGTGTGACGCGATGGTGTGCCATGTAATTCAGACATACAACCCTATTGATGAGAAATTTTACATTGGGGGAATAGGGCTGCCAATCCGAAATAGTGACATCCGTTTATTATTTGGGTTGCAATGTGGGAGGGAGAAGTTAGATTTGTGTCATGTTGGTAAAGGAGCGGCAGATTTTATACAAAGAAGATGCCCTAACATCAGCCGGATTTCATCGAAGGTAATCAAAGATGCGCTTGTAGTGGCAATGCGTGGGAGGACGGAGCAAGACGAAAAAGATGTTGCAAAGCTGATGTGCTTGTACGTATGTGCGAAATTATTTTTCCCAACAACAGGTGAGTCCATTGGTTGGGCGTTTGTGCGGGTTATCGATAAGTTGGAGACTTTACGGTTGTATGATTAGACAGCAATAATTCGAAACTCGCTGGTTTCTTCGTTGAATGAGGCGCACAATAGGCCAGAACGTGTCACCGGGTGTGTCGTAACGTTACTGGTAAGATTTGATCTAAAACCCAGAAAATCCATTGAACTTCCAAAACTTTAAGAGTTTGAATGTGTACGGGTAGTTGACGTTGTGATTGACTGTTTACTATTGTTTTTAATTTGTAGTTTCTGCTTTGCGAGCACACGAACATTATATAGCCAGATAGGCTGAATGTTTCACCACGGTTTTGTCGGTGGAACCTTAGGAAAATAATCGGGAAATTGAAAAGCATGGAATTATCGGTGGAGGGTTCTTTTGAGGTATGACATTCAACACACTGTTGGTATGTGCTATACGTTTTGGTTGGTTTGTACTTAATATATGGTACCATTTTTTTTTCCCCCCCGTACAGGTTAATCTTGATAAACTTTCGGGGACTATCATCGAAAAGTATTTTGTTGACAAATTGGTGGATGCAGAAGGCATTGTGGAAGAAGAAGGAAAATTGTTGGTAGTGGAGCCTGTGAGTACGTGGAATGGGTTGTCGGCTAATGCTCCTGACGCTGCTGTGAACGTTACTGAACCAAGTTTGAATTGTCGGCAGCCAGATTCACCTAATGGTAGTGAGGTTGAATGGACGTCCGCCAACAAGAATGAAGAAACTCACAATACAAACCCATATGGTGGGAGCAAGGAGGATGGTAATATATTGGAAGATGGGCGATCATTCTCGGTTTTGTTCCCTGATCTATTAGACCTGGCAAGCACACAACCTGGAGGCTCCGTTTGTGAAGACACCAACGACGCTACCGACCAGTTAGGAAAGGCTCTGAAGAAAATTACTGAATTGGAGATGGAAGTTTCTGTGAAGTCTGCCCGTTTGCGTGATGTAGATGTTAAAGTTGCGGCGATGAAGAGATTGGTAGGTGCACATGCCACCATCCTATTCATCGGCTTCGATAGTGTAATTATTACGAAAGATGCTGAAATTTTAAGGCTGTCGACACAAGTTCAAAAGCTAGAGGCAAGGATAACAATTTTGGAAGACTATGTGGATGAGTGTGAGGTGCACGAAGTAACGCAGTCAGTATTTAAGGAGAAAAACAAGCAACAGGCGTCGTGGGAACATAATTCGAGGAAAAGTAACAAGTCTGAAAGTGTGTCAGTAACTGGTAGTGGTGAACGTTTGGCAGAGGGTTGTGGAAGAAATGCAAATACCATGCCTGCCGCGACAGATGATGTTACAGGAGTGGACTGGGTTGGTAAATTGGCTGATGAACAGTTTGTCAATAGAAACTTGGATATGTCACTGAAAGATAGTGACGTTGAGAATGCTGTTGTCAGTGAACAAGAGAACAACCTTGTCAACGTTGAAACCATTACAATGGACGGGACTGACAGATTAGAAGACATCAGACCTAGCCCTGATATGACATCGTTGGTGAGGAGAGTTAAGAGCAAGGCACGACGTCAATTTCGATTAAGTGAGTACGATTACTGTAACGCCCTCAAAATAATAACATTAAACCCATCAAATAAACATGCATTGATAGTGAACAAGAGAACAACCTTGTCAACGTTGAAACCATTACAATGGACGGGACTGACAGATTAGAAGACATCAGACCTAGCCCTGATATGACATCGTTGGTGAGGAGAGTTAAGAGCAAGGCACGACGTCAATTTCGATTAAGTGAGTACGATTACCCCAATTTAGGTGGTCGTGGCAAACATAAATGGAAGATGGGTAATAGGGAAACTGTTGGTCCTGAAGTAATATATGGCGTTGAGGATGTTGAAGTTGGAAATAAAACATGGCAAGGATTTGGAATGAGCAGGAACACATGCTGTATGGAACATGCTTGATGAAGATGAAATTATGCTTCTGAAAAGAGTGTACACATTTGACGGCGACGGGTAACCAATATGAATATGAATGCATTTTTATGCAATTTTGTGTGTGAGAGTGTGTAATTTTGTACATTTGGTAATGATGTGATGTTGTTTGCAGAGCTGTAATATGGGATGGAGGTGAAAGCGGTATACAAGTTATGTTCGGTGACATTCGTGACCTAGTGCAGAGATCATCTATTCAAGGGAACGTAAGTATAGTCTTAACACACTGGAAACTATGTGCAAAAACATAGTTCGAACATGATTTTCTGGTATGAGATATTTGTGTCACAGAAATAACATCGTGGCTGATTGGTGTAGGTCATTGACGCGTACGCAGCCATGTTGATGGAATTGCAGGACAAAGGTATTGAAAGACAAGACGCTGTGGATAGTTTGTATGTTTTTAGCAGCGTATGCTCGGTAAGTGTATGTAATGTAAGCGTGCAATAATTGGACATATACATTCCCACATCACCGAAAGTGTGAAGTTAATTTATTTGTTTCAGAATACCTAATTTTGTTGGTACGACTGGCATAATGAAACAGGATTTTATGCAGAATCCGAATGCACTGTCACGGGGGAAATATTTGAATGTGCAAATCAAAGCTGCAAAAGGACACATATTCACACATTACCCGGTGTATCATGCCAACCACTGGATTGTAATGGTGCATGACACTGTGAGCGAGTCATGGAAACATTATAATTCTTCGAAACCCAGGAGGGGGATACGTGATGAACATTACAATGAATCACTAAAAGTGGTAAGTTTGTGAACGTAATATTATTTTTTCCCATATGTGCTAATTTTTCTTCGTAAGTTAGTGACATGGCAGACCATGTGCATTTTTTACAGTGACAAATTCATTATGAAGTGTAGTTAGTTTGCTGTAAATATGTATGCCAAAAAGATGACGTATATTAAAGTTGATTTTGTAGAAACAGTGGGTGGAAGAATATTATACAAAATTTGTCTGGCCACAGTTGGCACCCGGTATTGTTAGAAAGCCAGACTTTGACAGACCCCTTGTTTCAGTCATTGATTGTCCACAACAGAGCCCGAAAACGTAAGATGTTATAGTGGGTTGTTTTTTTTTTTAATTTTTTTTTCCTGGAAAAAGAAATTAACTTGTTACAGTCACGGGGATGTTGATATGGTTGGTTGGTTGTTTGCAGATCAGATTGTGCAATCTTTGTCTGCTATATCATTAGGCAATACATGCATGGTTGCAACATTGGCGCCACGATGGAAGAAACAACGCCACTAGAGTTGCGCGCGTCAATGGTAAAGATGTTCTTAAACGACTCAGGCAGAGGCCTTCGCAGTACAATACGTTGATGGAACTGACAGCTCCATCAGACCAAAAATAGTGGAAATTGCAAATAGATTCTGGTTTTACATTTTGATGGTTCAATATATTTTTGATGAAAGTCGTTGACAGATTAGTTTGTTTTGGTTAAATTATTTTGCAGTAGGATACTTAGATTTTTTTTGTTTGCTTTGCCGCGTACATTATGCTTTGCTGTTTATGCCAAAATGTCGCGACGTTAAATGATTTACCCATTCGATTGGGCTCAAATGTTTTTTGCACATATTTTGTTGGCTATACTGGATTGTGATTGGAACGTAATGTTGTTCAAATTTTAGGAATGTGCAATTTGTTGGGTCTTGTATGGATTGCTGTGTTAATATTCTTGTGGATGTTGGTTATGTTTGTTCTTGTGGGTCAAAGTGACATGAGTGTTTCATTGGACGTGTAAATGGCATAATAGACTAATTGTAATGGTATTTGCTGATAATAATGTTGGGAGTGGGTGTGTTTTCAATTAATACGTATGTGGTTTGGTATGGATGTTGTCAAATGATGGTAGTCCATAATTTCATGACAGATTTAGCCAGGAAAAATCACGACTTTTTGAGTGTAATTTTGCATGTACACAGAAGATGTAATTGCAAGACGTGTGCAACAGGTACGTTGTGAAGGTTGTTTTGGGGTGAAACGTTAGCCTTAATGTAAGTCACTTAATTAAAATCAAAGTGGGTGAAGGCTGCTGCGTGGTTTTACTGTAAGTGACTTTGAAAATTTTCATCATTCAACACATTTTTTTGTTTTGCTAGTACACGGTAGTACATCGGCATGAACTACAAATAGCACTGATGTTCAACTGTTTGTTGTCGCCAAATTTATACATTCTGAACAACATTTGTTTGGCCAGAAGGCCATGTTATGTAAGTTGTTAGAACAAGTAAGTACACTGCTGTTACAGTTAGACAAGCGTAAATGTAAAAAATATATAATGTTTCATAAACTTCAATTATTGTAGAGTCATACGGTAAATTTCTGGAAGAGATAACATAATTATTTAATAATGTGAAACAAATATTTCATCAATGTTCGCATATAAGATAAAGTTGACAACGAGTCTGCTACATCGCTTCCTTGCATGTTTTATTGTTATGATGGCCCATTTTGCCACAACGACCACACCGAATGTGTTGAACAACCTCGCCCTTTGATGGAATTCTTTTCCGATTGGGCCTTCCAGGAGGACGTTTGTAAATGGGTGGTGCAATGAGATAGTCTGACGGTGTGAACTTGGGTTTCGCCACGGTGGAAATTGGGTGAATCAACCCTTCATACGCTGCCCTATACTTCATCACGTGGTAAAACGGTTCAATGTAATCATACACATTCTTACCACTATTTCGAAACGCAACAACCGCGTGGGGACATGGGAAACCATTTAGTTGCCATTGAAAACAAGAACATGAACGATTGCCAATGTCAACTAACACTGACAGGTGGGACCGAACCTCAAAAACATTGTCATCCGATTGACTAACAATCCAGTGCCTGCTATCTTTAAACTCAGACATCAAACGCTTTTCCATTTTTGGACAAAGTTCACCAACCCAGGCGCTGGATTTTACTTTACGCTTTGACATTTTTTCCATGATCTTTCCCCTTATTGCATCCACCAATTGAGTAATGGGTAGCTGTCGAGCTTCTCGAATCCAATTGTTAAATGACTCTGTGGCGTTAGACCACATCTCACTGTATCGGCAAATGCACTTGAATAAGTAATACACGGACAAGTGGAAGATACGAATATGAAGGAAAAAAAATACCTAAAGTACGCATTGGCCCAATGTTGCGGATGTAGGTCTTGCAAAAAATTACCAACCGCTACTGGGCTGCATTGTTTTAAAATTTCAATTTTCTGGTTGAATGATGTTACTGTTGGTGCGTAAGCACAATCTCGTAACTTCCGCATTAGACCAACTTTCTGATCAGCGTTAACATATTTCATTCGGTCACGAAGATTCATCTGAAGATGTAACAAACAAAATGCATGGTGTGCCGCGGGGAAGACAACGACCATTGATTGTATTAAACCCAAATTACGATCAGACACGAAAGTTAAATTCCTAGCTCCGTCTACAACTTCAGCCAAATGCCGCAAAAACCATTCCCAGTTTGATGAGGTTTCAGAATCGACAATAGCAAATGCGATGGGGAATAAACCTGCATGAATTCATGTCAGTACCATGCTATACAGTCAAGTGGTTGCTACATAATGCAATATCAAATTATACAAATTCCAAACTGTAAGTCACATGGTGTGGTGAAAGACAATTGTGTAACATAGTCTTGTATATAGTACAAATAAGCACTACAAATTGTCATCCATACCTTGGTTTCCATCCTTGGCGGTGGCTGCGAGCAATGTCCCCTTGAACCTTCCCTTAAAAAATGTACCATCCAAAAATAGAAGTGGACGGCAACCATTGAACCTGTCGATGCATGCACGAAAAGCTATGAAATACCTCACAAACCTCCCAGTTTGCTGATCGAAATCCAAATTAATGTAGTTATGTGGGTTGTTTTCCATAACAACATTACTATACCACCTAAGTTGATCGAACGACATAGCGTGGTCGCCAAATACTTTGTTTCTTGCTTTTTCCACCCCTAACCATGCAACCCGATAACTAATATCCAGGCCATAATCGTCCTTCATGTCAAACACCACATCCGTCGGTCATGTCAGTGGTTGTTCACGCACATGTCCTGCGATCACATCGGACACCAAATCTGACCCAGTCCGCGGGTTACGGTATGTTCGTACAGCAGCCCCACAGGAATGTACACTAATAAATCTCTTCAAATACATAACACCATTCGAAGGAGACACCCGGGCGTAAACCAACCACCCGCACCCAGTTGACGTTACAAATTTGCATATAGCAGTGACACGTACAGCGTCGTTTTTGACATACTTGAACTGAAACCCACATTCCATTGCATACTTGCACAATACCGTTCGGAATTCATGTGCACCACCCATAAAAATTTGGCCGACATGAGTAATACCGAATGCCCAGCCAGCAGACAAGTACGTCTTCGTTCAATGAGGACAATATGTCGCCAACAAATCCGTTCGGTCTACCATATCGGCTATCCGCATATCCACGGTATCACACTCTCCATCATCATGTGACACTGAAACACCACAATGAGTAGCAGACCCATTACCCTGCAGTTGAATTATCATGTCAATATGTTCAAGCCCGAAAGACTTTGCAAGTAACAACATGTTCCGCACATCATCGTCGGAGTCAACCTTAAACTCGTGCTCCATGATATCAAACTTGTCGCAAACGGCATCAATTAATTGTTTGAACGTGAATGCTTGATGAATGCGGAACACTGCGTTGGTCTGACCGAACGTACACAACAACAACACTGCGAACTCTATACCTGCCCAAAATTACCTGCAATAACAGATACATTACACCCAGGAAAAATAACCACCCATTGACAATAACACACCACTACCCATTCACAATAACAGATCACCACCCAAAAAAACTAACTTCTTCACTACAACAACACTTTCAAACTCCTCCATAAACTTAACAAAATGCCAAATTAACATTTCGAAATTGAGAAGCTAAATATCGATATCATAAAATTGGTAACAAATAAGAAAAATAGCACAACCCCCAAATGTATTCAAACATACAAAATTAAATATGTGTATGCATATAGACAAGCAGAACAGAAACATCACACAAAAAAAAATTCGAATATACAACCCACAAACCAACATTAAAACACACATCACCAAAACACCAATTCTCCCAAATACACCCACTCGAACTGTTCGTGATGTTGGGAAGTTACAATAACGCATCACACAAAACACCAATCCCCCGCAAATACCCCCAAAAAAATTTCGAAACACCCTTACACATAACGCAGAAATGTCAATGCGAGCAACAATAATAATGAATCATATAAAACAACATAAACCCACAAACAAACATCATACATACAATAGTCCAACAACACACACCCAAACACCACAAGAAAATTCATCGCAAACATAATAACACAAACACTAACGTCAAACGAATCTGGACAGAGGTCAATAAAAAAACTCGAAAAATCAAACCCAAGCACTCAAACATCACACGAAGAAACGAACCACCATAGACCCACAAACAACTTTCTCAGGAATAACACCATAACGGAAACATCCTACACTTCCACACGAGTCCACGCCTTCAACGAAATTCCTTCCTACTAAAAAGGAAAGTTACAATATATCCTTAATAAACAAACACCAGGAAAACATCAAAACCAAAACAAAATATGGGTAAAAAGGTAAACATGATATATAATAAATTTAAAAACAATACTTTATCAAAAAGAATCAGGACTAAATGATTTAATAAAAAACATTCAGAATTAATTAGTGTAACATTTACTTAAAACAGGATTTATGAGTAATTTTTTCAATTACACACGCGTGTCATCACTCGTGTGTATTTAAACCCACAGTGGAGGCACGGAAGGAGAAGAGTGTGTGGGAGGGGGAAAAAAAAGGAAAAGAAGAGAAAGAGAAAAGAGAGCGAGGGAAGGGAAAGGAACCGAGGGGTGGAAAAATCATTGAGCGAAAGTGAGATCCGGGGAGTGGAGTGGAGTGGAGTTGAGTTGAGAGAGATGGTATCGTGCGGTGTGGCTGATTGATCGAAGCGAGGGAGAGAGAGAGAGAAAGAGAGAGGCATGAGTGGAGGAGGAGATGGGGGGGAGGAGGGAGAGTACGGGAGGGCGAAGACGTCGATATGGTGGGACATAGAGAACTGCCAAGTTCCAAAGGGATGCGACACTCACGCGATCGCTCAGAACATAGCCTCAGCCCTCGTCAAGTTGAATTACTGTGGTCCCCTCTCCATCTCTGCTTATGGCGACACCAATCGCATCAACTCCTCCGTCCAGCACGCTCTCTCCAGCACTGGCATTGCTCTCAATCACGTTCCCGCTGGTATTCACTTTTTCTTTTTTCTTTTTTTCCTCTTCCTTCTCCTTCAAAAACTAAACCCTAATCCCTAATCCCTGATCCCTAATTCACTCACTATATATATCATTAATTGCTTTCTTCTTCTTCTTCTAATAATAATAATCTCTTTGCAATTTGATGTTTTTGCTGTTTGTTGATTATTTGAGTGAGTGAGTAAATGATGATGATTTATAATATGTGCCTGCCTTTCCATTGTCCTCATTTCTGCTTTATTCTTGATTTCAACATGAATTAGTTCCTTCTTCCTTGCTATATAGATATCCTTTTATACTCCTTTTGTGTCTTCGCAATGGTGGACAAACCAGAAGCAAGCAGCAAAGCAAACTAAAGCTGTTTTCAATCTCCCTTGCCCCAAAAGCACGTAAACCCTTTATGGTTCAAAAGTCAACACATAACCCCATATAATATTTTCATGTTTCTTGGTGGTTTAATTTTCCAGAGAATGGCTGGCTGCATTTACTTTTCCAATTATCCAACCAAAACCTTTGGAGCAAAACAAAAAAAAAAACTAAGCCTTGTGTCCCGGAACAACTCAAACCTATAGAGTGAGATTTAGCAAAGTGTCTGTTTCTGGATCATCTTTGATGACATGGCTAATTGTTTGAACAGGTGTTAAAGATGCAAGTGACAAGAAAATTTTAGTTGATATGCTGTTCTGGGCAGTGGACAATCCTGCCCCAGCAAATTATTTGCTTATTTCTGGAGATAGGGATTTCTCTAATGCTCTCCATCAGTTACGCATGCGGAGATATAATATCCTTCTGGCACAACCACTAAAAGCATCTCCTGCGCTCGTTGCAGCAGCAAAAAGTGTATGGCTTTGGACAAGCCTTGTTGCCGGAGGATCCCCACTTTCGTGTGGTGAATCAACAGAACTTGCTAACGTCAATATGTTCAACTCTGAATTGTCACACAACCCCATTTCTGACCCTATTCGAATAAACCAACCTGCATATTCCAGCAGTGGAAGTGTTCCTTTGGGAAATCTCAACTTTAATTCTTCTGGTGCTGGTGATAGTAAATTGAAAGGGAAATATGTTAGTAAATATCCAAACCAACCGGTTATATCCCGAGCTTCAAGTGCCCCACTTGGGATTCAAGAGATTAAGAATGACAACTATACTATGCAGCCAGAAAATGCACCTGCTAGGCAGTTCAAGAAAGCTCCCCATGAATTTTTTAGTGCTAGTGAGCCTGTGGTATCAGCAAGTAGGTCTGCCCCCAATTTATTTCCCAGTGATATTGACAATTCGAGGAACAATTGTAGTCCTTTTGCAGAAATTCCAAAAAATAAATATCCTCAAGCTCGACCTGCTTTTGCACCCGATAACATGTTTATGCCAAATCCTCATAATAATGATGCCCACCCTGTGCCTCTGAGACCTGATGTTTCGAGATTATCCTTTGTTGCCCCGGTCACTAATGTGCCCAATGTTGGTAAGCTCAGTATATCCGATTACTCCAACTATTCTCAAAATTCTTCTAATTTTCATCATCAAATTGAGTTTCCAACGTTTGCTAGCCAAAGTGGACTGCAGAAGAGCCATATTCAGTACACAAGCCATCCTTTTTACCATGAAGACCCGAAAAATATGCGTCGTCACAGTTCTCAGTTTCCACCGTCATCATCCACATCAGTGGTTGCTAATACTGGTTCTGGCAATGGCAATGGCAATGGCATTTGGGGAACGCAAAGATGCCCACAACCTTCAGACATCGTTCAAGGCCTTATTGGTGTGGTCCTGCTAGCATTGAATACCTTAAAAGTTGAAAAGATTATGCCCACAGAGGCAAACATAACAGATTGCATTCGTTTTGGTGACCCAAGGCACCGTAATACAGAAATAAAGAAGGCCTTGGATTGTGTAATTGAGCAACATATGGTAATAAAGCAAAACTTAGGTGCTGTCCAGCTGTATGTTGGTAAAAATGAAAGACTCTGGAAGTGTGTGAATCCTATAGGTGGTAATCTTAACCAGTACCCCAAGGCGACATGGGATCGAATTCAAAAGTTTCTGACGTCTTCTGCGGGACATTTGGCAATAATGGCTTCTCAATGCAGGTAAATTTTTTTCCTGGGAGTTTTGACTCTATGGCGTCTGGTTACTTTTAGTTGGCTGTGAAAACATTTGTTAAGCTATTATATCTTCTTACAGGTATGAAGCAGCGTTGATTTTGAAAAGTGCATGTTTGAAAGAGCTTGCTCTTGGTGAGGTACTCCAGATCTTGAATATGATAATCACAATGAAGAGATGGATCGTACATCATCCATCAGGATGGCAACCAATTACCATCTCTCTGTCTGATATGAATACTGACACAGGTACTGTGTCTGGTCTCTGATGCAATTGAGAGCATTTATAAGTACAACAGAGTGGCCTGCGATGTTTAAATCTGCAAAACGTAATCTCAGTTTATTGGAAGGAAATTAATGGAAGGTGGGCCACTTGTTGAAATAGTATATAATTACAGTTTGTTGCCACTATGTCAGGGGGGAGTTTTTAGATCTGGAATCAACCAAGTACAGTTTTTTTTTTTCTTTTTTTTATTTTTGCTGGGAAATATGCGTGGGTATCTAAAGGTTATAGAAAGTTTGCTTGGCACAAGATCATCCCTTATGCAACATGACTATTCCTGTTGGTTGCAGCATTGCTATGTGAGACTTTTCTGTGCCCTATGTCAATATTGAGAAGGTAGTTTGCAACAGGCATTGTCCCTTGCTGTTACCAAGTACACGATATTAAAGAGAACTGCTGGAGAAAATTGATGATCTTTTGCTTCAGCATGTAAAACCACTGTTAAGATACGTAACCAAGGAATAGTTCCTTGGATTTGAACTATCTTGCAGTGGGCCCAGCAACGTTATATTCTGCTGATGGCTCATGGGGATGAGTTTTACTGAGGTGTGTACAAGGTGAGGCATATAGGTCCTCATGGAAGGAAGCTTAAGGTGATTGGTTCTTCTACATGATGTTAGACTGTTAGTCATCAGGAAAAGATTGAAAAACTAATATTTTGTCACTCTGAAAGCCTTTTACCATATTGATGCCAGCAAAAGTGAGCTGGAAGGTGGCTTTTCTTGTGTGATTATTGAGGTCTAGTAAAATGCCTTATTTGGTTATGTCAAGCATGGATGCAGGTGTACTAGCAGATTCAGAGCATGGTTGGTTAATTGGGCTACAATTACTTTGCTGCATGACGACTTGCATGTTTCTTGCTATTTTAGTAAATTTTGTATTTTTGGGTCCATAATATTGTTTGGGCTAGGTGTTATGGATCTGGATCACTTTTGAGGATGGAAGTTTTGGTTGCATGTTTGTGTTGGTGGTTTGTATGTGATGTTTCTGGAGCTAGTGGGCTGGTGAGTGTGGAATGCCTCAAGGTAGAGGGTTTAATGTTGCCATTCTTCTTAAGGGAGCAAGGATGCGCCCAGATGCTGGTTTTGTGAATGTAAACAAACTACATGGCTGTTATTTGAATTCCTCGCATTGTTAGGGGGTGGAAGTACTTGTGTGCTTGCTTTAGCTTGAGAATGTACGTAATGGTCTTTGGTGTACGTTTTCTTTCCTATTATATGATGAGAAAGTTGCACGTTTTAGGAAAGTACTAGTAGTGTCTTAATACATCTTTTGACAAATTAGTCTTTAATGTGACAAATTTTGTGGGTCTTTTTGGTGTGGAAAGAGAATATTCTGAGTATGGCCTGAAATTTATTTGGAATGCTTGTTGGGGATCTTGTGACCTTACATCTTTTGCTTTCGGCTTTTGTTTTTTATTTGCTTTGGTTTCAAGTTTATAAAGATTGAGTACCTACCAATGGCATTGATGCAATTGGCACCCTTTCATATCTTCTCACAATTAGGCTTCGTTTGGGAACAAGTTATTTTAATATTTTTTTGATTTTTATAAAAAAATGTGTAAAAAAGTAGAGAGGGTGATATGATAATTTATCGTGATTTTTTGACTGTTTGGTTAAAAATTGAAGGTTGCCAAACGAGGTCTAGAGTATGTATTAGCAATAACCTTGTAATAATTTCTACATTGTTTTGTAATATTTTACTTACCAGCTCACGTGAATAATATTGCATTGGTTTAATTGGTGTTATTACTCATTTTGTTACTTTACTAACACCTGAGATAATAAACCAAAAAGTAGTAAAAAACAGATGGTCATTATAATATTTATTGTTGAATCAGAAAATCCCCTTACGTTTTAGATGCAAATTATTTTCAAAGTTTAATTTTTGGGGGCTTTCACAAACACATTTTTTAATTATGGATTTATTACAAGAAATTTAATGTGTAATCTTAGCATTTAATGTGTATTGATGAATAAAATGTTAATCAAATTAATCAATATATGTTATTTGGTCCACATGGTGATAGAAAATTTCAATTCTATTGTACTAAACCATAGTTGTGTGAGATGCCAATTACATAGTTGTCTTGCCATGTGTTTCTTTAGAATTGACTGCCTTAACTTAGTTTCAAAATAAAACTATATGCTGTCTTCTATTTGTTGATTTTTTTGTTTATTTAGAATTTGAAATTCAATATAGATATTGTTTTAAAGATCTCAAAAGACGAATAAAAAAATATAAATTTTATTATCTATAAATTTTAATTAAACATATTTGAAAATTAAAAAAGCAAACATCATGAAAAATTCATATTTTGGTCTACAAATTCTGTAATTTTTGAAAAAAATGAAAAATTCAAATTTTCAATTTTTTGTTGATTATGTTGACTGAAAAACAACAAATAAAATATCGTATAACATGTATATATTATGATGTGAATTTTAGGCTCATGTTTTTATGGAAATTTGTTTTTTTTTTTTAGCATATAAAAGTTCAATCTAAACTATAAATTTTGTTTTAAAAAAATAACTAGAATTAATAGGTGTGTTTATGTTTTAAATATTCTCAATATTGTTTACTATTTTTATTTTTTTTGGTATAAATTCTTTTTTTTTTTGGGTGGGGAAATAAATTTTGTAATTATTTAAGAATTTTGAATTTGTTTATTTTTTTTATTATTTTCTTTTGTATAAATTTTTTGGCTATTTAAGAGTCTTGAATTTATTTTATTCTCGGTCATGGAAGCTTTTGTTTATTTAGTTATTTATTTATGTTTACTATAAATTCTGTAATTGTTAAGTAATATCACTTTTGTTGTACAATATTTTCAAAATTTAAACTTGAGAGCACATCTTAGTGATTGTTTATTTATTTATTTTTTTATAATTCATTATTACTCTAAACTATAAATTCTGTTTTAAAAAAATAACTAGAATTAATAGGTTTGTTTATGTTTCAAATATTCTCAATGATTGTTTATTATTATTATTATTATTATTTGGTATAAATTCTGTTTTCTTTTTTTTAAAAAAAAAATAAATTCTATAATTGTTTAAGAGTTTTGAATTTATTTATTTTCTTTGGTATAAATTCTTTAGTTGTTTAAGAGTCTTAAATTTATTATATTCTCAATTATAGAAACTTTTGTTTATTTATTTGTTTTTTTACTATAAATTCTGTTAAGCAATATCACTCTTCTTGGCCAATCTTTCCAAAATTTGAACTTGAGAGCACTATGTATATTTATTTATATAAAACCACATCTCAGTGATTTTTTTTTTTTATAATTTAATTTTGTTCATTATTATTATAAAAAAAATTGGGGGTTTTTTTTAAGGTCCCTCGTATTAAGATTTTATAGCATAAAGGATATCTAATATTTTCATAATGTCTAAGGTTCCTCAAGTTGATCTAGAGAAAATTGGTCCAAAGAAATTTTGAAAAATTTCTCTGGCCTTCCCTAAACTTCCCATTGTAAATTTCTCTGCCCTCCCATTCTCCAAATTTCTTTTCCTTCTATATACTTCCCACTCTCCCAGAGAAATTTCTCTGCCTTTTCACAAAATTACATCTCCAGAGAAATTTGTAATTAATTCTCTGATTTATATATGCAGTGTTGTTGGTTCTGGTTCTGTGAAAGAAGCTTTGAGAGCATCTTTTACAATTGTGTGAAATTTCACTGAGAAACTTGTAGCTTGGGAAATTCTCATAGTTACTTTTAAATTTCTCTGATTTCAGAAAGGAAGGGAAAATAAGCAATCATAAGTAAACTCACATCCAATGTAAAGGGTGTTTATGGATGCAATTGAGATTTGGCGAATGAATGAAAAAAAAAAATAATAAAATAAAAATAAGCTTTTGATAGAGAATTTTCTCTGCCCTCCCTGCCTCTCATGGACTTAACACTCTAGAGAAATTTGAAATTTTTTCTGACTTCTCACAAAATTACCCCTCTAGAGAAATTTTAAATTTCTCTGGCCTCCTTAGCCTTTCATGGACTCTCCAGAGAAATTAAATTTCTCCGTCTTACATATACTTCCCATATACTTCCTACTCTCCAGAGAAATATCCCAAGATAGAAAATTTCAATTCACATATTTTACAAGGTAGAAATTAAAAATCCCCGTAGCTAACGCTTCAGTAACATTGATCACTGCATTCATGCCAAGAAATAATCAGATTTTACAATTATAGAGCTCACAAATGTCAAATTACACTCCTTTTCGGTTGTTTTAACAACACAATTTGAATCTTTGACATTGTAATTTGTAATACAGACAAACAATCCACCAAAATAAAAATAAAAAATATAGAGAGAGAGTACTGTTGGGAAAGAAGAATCGGAGAAATGGGTTGTGAGCCCAATCCGATCCCGCCATTCTTGCATTCCTTCTTAAGGTGAGGAAACCGCTCCGGCAGATCGAGATAAAGAAAGGGAGAAAATCATTGATGCAATCAGATGGTTTGAGTTTGTGTTCTTCTACTGTTGTTGAAGCAATGGATTCAACAATCGGTTCATCAGAGAAGCTTCGGTCCGAACTAGGGTTTTAGACGCCATTTTTGGGTGAGAATGAGAGAGGGGTTTTTGGTGCGCGAAGAGAGAGGAGAGAGTTGGATCTTGGAGTGTCTGGTTTCGATTGACTTCTGGGTCAATTGTCCCAAATTCTTACAAATATTTTTCACCTTGAGATCTTTATCCTCGTGAAATAGAGAAGGCAGAGAAAGAGAGATGAGTTTGGTTGAATCAGAGAAAGGGAGAGAGAGAATGATGAAAGCCCTAGCCAGAGGAAAGAAGAAAGCGCGAAAGTGAATTTTCTCTGGAATATATGGGTGTCGGATCAAGGGACCTTAGACATTACAAAATAATATTGTGGATCTCTTCTACTACAAAAAATGGAAGAGGGACCTTAGACTAATTTTTTCAAAAAAATTCAGGCTGCTTTGCCACATTGTGCTATTGGGGACAATTTTTTTTCAACTTGCTTTACCACATAATGTGTATATATATATATATATATATAATTTGTGAAAATTAGTAAATATTGTATATTTTAAAAGATTTATATATACATATACATATACATATATATATATATATAATGTTGTACATATTTTATTTATGAAATATATTAAAATCAAATGTTATATTACAATACATTATATTATACTCATGATATATATATACATTATTTAAAAAAAATATAGCATAATTTTTTTTTTTTTAATTTGCACACGCATCGCGTGTGCCCTTAGTCGCTAGTAAATAATTCATGTAGTTAAGTTTATAGCATTTTAAAGATAATTATTAACACAAAATACATATTAAATGAGTGGGGTACAAAAAAAAAAAAAGGGTAAAGTTGTGAATATGGTGAGCGTTCAGAGACAAATATATGAAGACCAATTTTGGAAGTTGAGGGGTAAGGGAGGCAAAAAACGGGTGATTGAAAGAAAAAAGTTAGGGCATTTAGCGACACTCTGTTTGAATTTGCTAATAAAAAAGTATCACGCGTGTGTTCTAATCACTAAAGATTAAAGTTTGGAGTTTCCGAAAAGAGTAGTGCTTGGATTCTTAGCCAATTTTTCTAAATTTTTTAGATTTTAAAAAAATTAGATGGACTTAAAAAGAAATTTTTTAATCTAAATTATTTAAAAAATCATTAAAAATAAAAAAAAATTCGAAAAGAAAAGAAAAGAAAAGAAAAATGTGAATTTTTTAATTGTGGGCAAAGAGAGAGCTAAGGCCATGTTTGTTTAGGCGGACTGGATTAACATTCCCATGACTAATAGTACTAGGACTACGAATCCGTTGGATTATGTATCCTATCTTAACTAATAGTTAAGTTTAAAATGATTAGTCCTTCAATTGTTTAACCAAACATCGGATTAATAATTTTATTAGACTATTAGTCCAATCCCAAGCTCATGTCCACTTAAACAAACATGGCCTAAGTAGATAACTTCAACAATGGACTTGTTTTTTTTTTGCCAAATTTGTTTATTTTGTATTATATAGCGGCTGCCGGCCGGGCTACGCGAAACGCAAATTCAAAAAAATATTAATTTTGTTTATTTATTTATTTATTTATACATCACAAATTTATTTAAAAAACATATAGAGAATATTTACAATTTTGATATAAACAAAGTAAAATAATAATTCTTAAAAAATTAGTAATCTTTTTAACAATTACAAATCCAAGATTCTTAGAATACTTACCGTCAAAAAGATTTGATATACACAAAAAAAAAAAAAAAACAAACAGTTACAGTGAATTTTTTTTGATATAAACGTAAAATAATAGTCAAATTTTTTCCTCAAGGAACATGATGAAACTTTTTATCTTCTTTTATTTTTTAATGAAGAAATAAAGGGCATGTTTGATTG